TGTTTTCTGGGGGTAATTTTTTATGGTTTTGACAAACAAAAAAATCACCATTTTGAGCCATTACTTTCTAGCTTCATGTAGGTCTGTGTATGGTAATTCTTGCAAATAGAAAACTGCCTCATGCCGTGCTTGAGGTACCTCACTGCTGCGCTTCCAGTTTTCTATAGCATCTTCCAGGAGTCCACTGCCTGCTGTTTCCTTCTGCCATTGCCTTTCCCTTTGGTACTGTACTTGGAGAGCTTGTCATTGTTATTGTCATGGTAAAACCTACTTTATTTTGAATGCCCATAGCATAAAAGTCAGCAGGAGGGGTGGATGAGATTCAGGGAAACACTAATCTAAGCATTCAGTCATGTATTACACAACAAAAGTTTTTTTCCTTTCCCATCCACGTTATGCTCCTTCTTACTATTTGAGGATGAATTCCATGCATGTTTCTGTGAATAGCCTGACAGTTTAATCGGTACATTTGCATACGGGCAAATGAAGCTTTTTTCAAAGTTGCACAGTAATATGTTTCACCTTTATACCATGCCAGCTTCAAATTGTATCCCAGGAGGATTTCAAATGTGCATAATCTGTGCAGTTGTCTGGGCTTTTTTCCTTTCTTTTTCTTCTGCCTTTTTTTTTTTTTTTTTAAACTGGCAAATGCCTATTCATTGCCCATCTGGGTAAGAATGGCCTTTGCATTTTCACACCCATTCTTTCCTATATGGTTTGTGAATACTCCTCCAATCAGAACTTGCTTCACAGAAAGGGGACAAAACCATTTTACAGGAGTTTCTCAGAATAAGTCCATTGGGATCTCTACATCATGTTTACTGGACAAAAAAAGAGCGAGTACTTAACAAAGACCACTTGAATTTCACAGAAAGTTTCCCACTGTCTTGAGTTTAAAAGAGTGGCAGGCCTGAGGAGAGCCCTAGACAGGAGTCTTTTTCCTGAGCTGGGCATTCTGTGCAGTGACGAGTAGGTGAGTGTGTGTGTGCAGCTGGGCCTTGTGAGGAGCTGACACACTTTCTGGCTTGGCCAAGGCTCTAGGAGTCTTTGTCAGAATGTGGCATTTACTTAGAATCAAACTTGCATTGGCAAGTCTGTGTTTTGTGGGCAACATCACCTTTGGACTTTCAGCTTAGAACAACGTGAAGTAGGGGTTGACCACAAAACTGGGATCTGGACCCAGCTTCATACAAAGAGGGAAAGGATCTGCCTTGGACAGCAGGTTTTGCTACAGACCAGTCCCTGGAATTTGTTAAAACTGCTCTTTATACTGATGTGGCTTGTGTAGTAGTGGTTCTGAGACTTATGCAAATTATTTCTTTGCCTGGACTTGGGATAGATACGGTTTACAGTGTTGAATGTCAAGAAGGTGGCCTAGAAAAATCATCCTCAAAATCTGTATTAGCTTCTTTTTTACTATTTATTGTGTATCTCTTCCAACCACCCTTCTTCTTTTATCCTCAAGGAGTACATTTCAGTTGCTTCTCAGTTAAAGAAGTGGTAGATGTTCCAACGAGAGGATCTTTTTAGGGCAATCTCTGATAGAAGTTAAAAAATAGTGCCATTTATGAAGTGGCTCAGTTGGCTTTCAGACCAGCTCCTACACCACAAGGAGCATCCTAGTTCAGTTCCTATAGGAGAGCTATCCACATCACTCTTGCAAATGTATACAAATCTTTTTTTTGTAGCCAGGATCAATTTCAACTGCCTGTTTTCATTAAGTTTGCTAAGGATTTCCCTAAATTCCTCCCATGTTAAACTATGACAGGACAAAATACTCTGTTGCTATACTACTCTTGATTCCCACAGCCAGGACCTGAGAAGGGCTGTTGAAACTTATAAATGAACTTTGCCCTTCCTCCTTTCTGTGCATGATTTGTGGGTAAATGGCAGAATTCACATTCCCAGGTAGTCATTCAGTCTCATGATGCATGTCACACCTTTCTGGAAAGGAGTTGTCTTAAGCGTGAGAAACAACTGATCACTTTGAAAATTTAAAAAGGTTAATTAAACCTTAACAAAAATACAACAAAGGACTACATAAGGAAAAAGCTGCAGCAGATACCACATGGCCAGCTCATCTTCAAGATGGATGCCCAGTGTTTTATACCCCTGGGGGGTTTCATCAGCCAACTCTGGCCGCTCCCAAAGTCTGTCAGTCAGTTCTTCTTTGCCATTTATCAGTGGAGACTGCTTTCTTGTAACTTGATTGGAGGTGAGGTGTTGCCATGCTGCCCCCTAAGCGCCAAGCTTTTCCATTCCCAGCTGTCCCATGCAAGGGGCACATGGCACAGCTTCTGTCCCAGAGAACCCCGGCTGTCTGATGGTCACAACACGGGGCGGGGAAAGGGAACCGTGCGGAGAACAGAGGACATCTAAACTATAATAACATAACTATACATCACTAAAGCTTTTCTTAATATTCACACAATAGTTATCCCTTAATTGTGGCAGCCAGTCCCCTCATTACTGTCTGTAACACTAAGGATGCATTTTTCAGAGTTCTGCTCACAAAATTAATTTTATCTGCCAAGGAGCATAGTAACAAAGTAGATTTCTTTTCTCAAATCAAGTGATCTGTCTGTAGCATCTCTGGTGTGTGTAGAACATTCCACATTGTGCATCTTCAAGATAGGATTTTTGGGTTATTGAGTTAGGCTGCTGCATATTTCTTCTTATTATCAAATACCTCCTTTGACAGACCTGAACATAGAGATGTCTTTCTGTGAAAGTGAGTCCCAGGAGCAAACCAGGTAGTCACTGGTACTACTCAAAGGGAGTGGGTAGCTGTACAGTCACTTGCCCGTAGTAAGTCTTGAAAAGAGGTGTCACCTATTTATCAATAATTTTCCACCCTTCTGTTGCCCCACATCTATGAAGTTTTTGCCAAGGATTCTGACTTTGTGTCTAAATACATGCTGGATTTTGGATTCTTGTATGGTCTGACATGTCTGACAGGGAAGCATCTGGAACTGCCCTGGAGGCCTCTGGAGAATTACTCTATCAGGAAGGAGGAGGAAATACATCTCTTCTCTACATTATTTTGTGTGATAATAGTTGCAATGCCCTTGAAGGAAAGTCTCCCAGTTTCTAAGATATTTTTCTAGTCCTACGGTCAGCCCCATTAGAGAAAGAAGTTCAGGTTTCCTGGCTAAGCTTATGAACAAGACAGATGTATTTCACAACCTCCATTGTGGTGTCAGTGATTTCCTCCTTGTTTCTTCTACGTGAGCATCCCCTCAGCATGCTAATCACACGTGGAAATTAGTAACCTTCTGGTACAGGGTTACATCTGTTAACATGGGGCTTCTTCAGACATCTTGGCCCTTTCTTGATTTCCAGTTCCTGACCTTTGTGCTTCCCTTTAATCATCAGCTACTTCAGAGAATTAAAATAACCGCTTGTGTCCCTGGTGGTTTCTCTTGGAACCACCAGAAGAGAGGGTGCTTGAGATGTTGGTAGTGAATAAATGGGAGGAAAAAGGCAGAGCAGGGAGCATGCCATATTTGCCTGCAAATTGCAGTGAGAAGTGTTCAACTGCCTGTGGATGAGATGTAAAGCCCTCCTTCGGGTGGGGCAGAGAGACGTTTCTGGGCTAAAAGGCCTGTGTATGCCTATCAACTGCTTCCAGTGCTATTTATTTGCTCTTACATTTGTTAGACAGTGGCAATAAGCTAGTTTAATTTACTCACACTTACCAACTTCTATTCTTGGATGCTCACACATTACCAAGTTATTGTGGCAACAGTGGTTAGATCTTTGCTGGGAATATGCATGACAAAATGCCTGTAATACCAGTGGCAATTTAGCATTACTTTGCCTAATTTTCTAGAAACCAAGGTGCCACATGTATTCCAAATGCTTAAAAGAATTATTAATAGTGTTTTATTTGTTTGCTATTCAAGAGACAATTGATACTTTATAATTAAAAGGTGAAACCATAGTTTCTGCCTGTCAAAATCCAAATAGATGAAAATTTGGTAAAGAACAGGAAAGGAAATGGGAAAGCATTGAAACCAAAGCAAGCAAGATGAAGATGGGGAACAGTGGATTGGGAGATTAAGAAATTTCTTTTTAGTCACTTGTAAATTTTGATTATGTTAGCTCTGTATCCAAATTAGATGCTTTTCTAAACTGTACTCTATTTAGATTATTCAGTCAAACTAAGACAAAATCTTCCTTGGAGTAAATGTCTGTAATTTTCCAGTCTCTGTCAAGTAAATAACAGCAGGAGAACATTTGTTTTTATATGATGGCGGTCTGGTGCAAGTCAGAACTTGGGATATGCTAAAAATTAAGGGGACAGTTCATGTTAACTTCTTGCTTTGGGTTTTTTCAGAGAACTGTTTGTCACTATTGGGTAGCAAATGTTCTAAACCACAACCCCAGACAAAACTCTGCGTGGGATTTTAGGAACATTTACAGCTTAAATCTTGAACCAGATTTGGATTTTACAAAGTGACTGCCAGTTTTTTTGATACAAGTAACTATACTGTGAAACACATGATCTAAATTCCTTAAAATACCAATCTAGATTGAAATCATATTTTCATATATACTCTTTGCATTAACAACTTAGGGTCATTACAGATTCTGATCTCTTCTGGCATAAATCCAATCCACAGCCTAAAATCCAGCTTTAATCCATGTGCTCAGTGTTTACAGTTGGCTGGCTCTAAGCTTTTTAAAGACAGATAAACTGATAGGAAGTCCAAGACTCAGGAGTATGGTTGAATTCAGATCCAGCTACACCTGTCTTCATTTGGTTTTGTCCAAAGATTCAGGACTTGAGCTTCTGGAAATGAGTAGGGAAGTTTATTTGTAGCCTTACAAAATGATGTGTTCTTGCCGATGCCTCTGTGTCTGGTTTTTCCAGTGCGATCAGTTTTGTTTACACAGTGGGAGGTTACCTTTGCCAGCACTTTCACTCTAGGCCTGCAGAGGACAAGACTCATTCTGTTCTTTTTTTTTGTTTTCTTTTGTCACCTGCTTTGCTCCAGGTAACATCAGTTGCAAGGGGATGACAGAGCGCATTCATAGCATCAACCTTCACAACTTCAGCAATTCTGTGCTCGAGACCCTCAACGAGCAGCGCAACCGTGGCCACTTCTGTGACGTGACGGTCCGCATCCACGGGAGCATGCTGCGCGCCCACCGCTGCGTGCTGGCGGCTGGCAGCCCCTTCTTCCAGGACAAGCTGCTGCTGGGCTACAGCGACATCGAGATCCCCTCAGTGGTGTCAGTCCAGTCTGTGCAAAAGCTCATTGACTTCATGTACAGCGGGGTGCTGCGGGTCTCCCAGTCAGAGGCCCTCCAAATCCTCACAGCCGCCAGCATCCTGCAGATCAAGACTGTGATTGATGAGTGCACAAGGATTGTCTCACAAAATGTGGGCGATGTCTACCCAGTGATTCAGGATTCTGGCCAAGAGACGCCCAGGGGAACACCTGAATCAGGCACCTCGGGGCAGAGCACTGACACGGAGTCTGGCTACCTGCAGAGCCATTCACAGCACAGTGTGGACAGGATCTATTCAGCCCTCTATGCCTGTTCCATGCAAAATGGCAGTGGGGAGCGCTCATTTTACAGTGGAGCTGTGGTCAGCCACCATGAGACAGCCCTGGGACTCCCCAGGGACCATCACATAGAAGACCCCAGCTGGATTACCCGGATCCATGAACGGTCGCAGCAGATGGAGCGGTACCTGTCCACCACTCCAGAGACCACACACTGCCGGAAGCAGCCCCGCCCTGTCCGAATCCAAACCCTGATGGGCAACATCCATATTAAACAGGAGATGGAGGATGACTATGACTACTACGGCCAACAGAGGGTGCAGATCCTTGAGCGCAATGAGTCTGAGGAATGCACTGAGGACACTGACCAAGCAGAAGGCACTGAGAGCGAGCCCAAAGGGGAGAGTTTTGACTCGGGTGTCAGTTCCTCCATTGGCACTGAGCCTGATTCCATGGAGCAGCAGTTTATAGCTGGTCTGGGCCGGGATGGGCAGCAAGAACCTACTCAAGCAGATCAAAATGATGTCCCTGCTGATGGCACTCAACCGCAGCAGCAGCAGCAACATGTAGATGCCAACTCTTCCTCACCAGAGAGAAGCAATGACGTTGAAATGGACAGCAAAGTGCTCACAGTCAATAACAGCACCGAAAAGGGGGCTTTGCAGCCTTCTGTCAACACATCTGTTGCCCAACCATTGCCAACCACACAGATCTACTTACGCCAGACAGAAACCCTCACCAGCAATCTGAGGATGCCACTGACTCTGACCAGCAACACTCAGGTCATTGGCACAGCTGGCAACACCTACCTGCCTGCCCTTTTCACCACGCAGTCTGCTGGCAGTGGCCCTAAGCCTTTTCTCTTCAGCCTGCCCCAGCCTTTAGCTGGCCAACAGACACAGTTTGTGACAGTGTCCCAGCCCGGCCTGTCAACCTTTACTGCCCAGCTGCCAGCCCCGCAGCCCTTGGCCCCATCTGCGGGCCACAGCACAGCGGGTGGGCAAGGCGAAAAAAAGCCTTACGAGTGCACTCTCTGTAACAAGACTTTCACCGCCAAACAGAACTACGTCAAGCACATGTTTGTACACACAGGTAAGAGTGCTTCCCTTTGGCTTGCATGTGGAGACACAGAAAGCCCTTCACAACCATGTACTTAGATTTTGTTTACCAGCCTGCCAGGCCCCAGGATAAACAGGAGGGAAGGCTCATCCAGGGAGCTGGTGTCACTGAACACTTCCTAGCCTTACTGCACTGAAGTTGAGTCCCTGCTGAAAAATATAGATCCCAAATAGGGGCCTAACTGTGCAGGGTACAGAAACAAGTTCATTTCTCTTGAAGTAAAAGGCATCTTGCATCCATCCAAGGAAATGGTGAGCATTTGTTGTACCCTGCAAGCTGACCAGGCAACATTAAGTGGAAGACAGGAAACTAATAGGTCATAAGAAAAACTATATCTATTAAGAAAGGGCATCCCCTTGTAGGTTTTACAGATATGGGGTTTACAGATTAAGATAAAGGTTAATCTGTGAGGTTAGGGCAAATTCACTACTGGTGGAGCTGCACCAGTAGGTCCAGGCCCGGATGTTACACACACTGCCACAGATTTTCTAGATCTCCCATACTACTATAAGAAATTAAATCTGGGGTTTTGTCAGAAAGTCTTTCTGTACTTCACTGAGGCTAATTGCTGTAATCCCTTGTCTCTTAGTAAATCAGAGGCATCACTAGCTGTGCATACAGAAACATAGGGTTCAATGAGAAAATATTTAAAGAATATATGTGGAGCACAATGGAACACAATATCAACATCTTTCTGCTTAAAACTACAGCTGCTTTAGTACATGGTTTATGGTCTGTTGAGATAACATAGGTAACCATATTTGCCACTGAGCCAAAACTGCCTTTTCTAGCTTTGCCAAGTTATGAGACTTCAAAGCAAGGATATGTATTTTACATGGAGTTGTCATGGGTTCAGAAGTGCTTTGCTTGCTTTAGCCCTTGGCTCTTCCTGCTGTTGGAGAGAAAGAGTAAATATTTCTTTCACCAAGCAGTGCCTTTGTTAACATCAGATCTTAAAATTAATGATGGGTTTGTGATACATGGAGGAGAACCTGGAAACATTGCCCAACATGCCTCTTTGTTGGATGCAATAGCTTTCAATTCCATGTGTATATGTAAACTTTTAACTTCAATTTACCTGTATTTATCACTTAAATGAAAAACTCCTCTAGATAGCTACAGCAGACATGTACATATACATATACAAAAAGATCAACTTCTCAGGACTGGTACAAAATGTATAATTGCAAGGATCAAGAGTCCTGAATCCCAGTATTACCTTTTTGTCTGTTTATGTTCTCCATCTCTCTGTTGTGAATGAGGAACTAAAATGCAAGATAGATAGTGTTGGTATTCAGAAAAATATCCCCTTCATAACACAGTCAAATATATCTGCTTGCATTCTTGTTCTAAAACCTAAAAAGGCTGTTTTACAAATAACTTCACCGAGATTAGGTACTTTATTTCCCCTACCACTGCACTTTGGTTTTGGAGTCAGATAAAGAATAATACTGGAAGTATTTTTCTGATCTAAAACATTCTTAGCTACTACAAGTAATACCAACTGGGAAAATTGACAGGCATCTTGAATCATGAATTAATATTTTATTTGTGTGGGTCTGAGAATGCCCTAAAAAATGAACTGTAGTGGCAAGGAAAGATTTGGATAAATCATTTCAAAATTCACTTAGGAGCTAACTGGCTCCTGGGAGAATAATTTCACCTTAACCTACAGAGAGCAAGGCTTCAAAAAACCCTCATGAAAATAATCATTATGTGTGCAGCTCCAGAGAAAGTCTGTCTGCTACCTTGTCTAGTGCTGGACAGGATCATTACAAAAATTGAAGGGAGACACCTATTCCCACTCTCAGGGTGACTTTTCCTTAGGCCTGTTGAAAGAAGCCTGGCAAAGTGGCCCTGGAAAAGATCCACAGAAAAAATGAGAGGTCTGGGAGATGCAAATGTTTGAATTAATCTTTCTGTTTGGAGGGCTCACGAGAGAAGTCATGGAAGAGCCTAATCATAAACCTGAATTCAATAACTTAAAGGCCTCTATATCTCTATGTGTTTTTATGCTTCCAAAAACTACAGTCTGATTAACTTTCCATGCAACAGAAACCGACATCCTTTTCTTCTTTCACATGGCTGCAAGCATATTAGAGATTGCTATTTTTCCATGTTCCATGTAGACTCACTTTAATATATCCCACAATATTGTGGAAATACAGTGCTAGAGTGTATGCAGTGTCTGCACTTTATAAGGCACCATTGTCTTTCCCACATATCACACTGTGATTAATACTGGATTAAAGGCTGCAAAAGAGGATCATGTGCCAAGGGGATCACAGCAGAGCACCAACATTGCTGCCTCCGCACCTTTCTAATTTGGTGATAGGATGATGATGGGATTGGGGGCAAGTCATTTGAGGAGTGGCTGAGGTCACTTGGCTTCAGCCTGGAGGAGATTGAGGGGAAACCTCATTGTGACCTACAGCGTCTTCGTGAGGGGAAGTGCAGGTGCAGGAACTGACCTCTTCTCTCTTGTCCAGTGATAGGACACAAGGGAATGGCATGAACATGTCTCAGGGTAGGTTTACATTAGATATTAGGAAAAGGTTCTTCACTCTTTGGTTGGGGTTGGTGGGCACCAGAACAGGTTCCCCAGAGAAGTGGCCACAGCACCAAACCTGGCAGAGTTTGAGAAGCTCTTGGACAATGGTCTCGGGCTCACGGTGTGATTCTTGGGGTGGTGCTGTGCAGGACCAGGAGGTGGAATTTGATGATCCTTGGGAGTCCCTTCCAACTCAGGATTCTATGATTCCATGACCTCAGTGTCAGCACCTAGTATCCATTACGGTTGCGGTTCAGAGAGCCGCAGAGCCTACATCACCAGGAGCACAGGGGCTAGAAAAGGGAACCGTGGCCAGGGGCTGATGTTGCTTCTTCCCCATTCCAACTCAGGATATGCTCTGACCCTATTCTTCTAATCATCCCATATTACAGTTTAATACCAGCCAAATACAAAATAAAGAAGCAAAAGGAGGAACGTGCACATTTTAATTCACTGAGCAAAGTTTTCTCTGACTTGAAAATGAAGAATCACGGGAATAAAGAATCTACAGTGCTCACTTAGGAAGCACAAAAATTTGCATACAAAAAAGAAAAACCGAAGTTTTGCAATTCTTTGGAGAGGAGAAATCCCAGGAAGAGTTTGAAGCTGAGATTAAAAAGCCACAACCCAGTGTATCTTAGAAACATAAGCAGGCAAAAATTAACATGTTTTTATAGCACAATCTTAACAGGGTCTAGAGCGGAGGAGACCAACTTAGTACAAACTCTGGGACATATATTGCCCAAGGCAAAAGTGAGCTCTGTAAATACAATCAGCCTCTTGTAAGTTAATCAGACGTTTTTCTAACTGGCACGCTATCATTTTCCACATCACATGTCATGCATGTTGACCTGTCTACACACAACACAGTACTGTGTGTGGCAAAGCCATCAGGAAAGCAAGGACTTAGTGTTTTGAGCAAATGTCTTTCACCAAGTAGGGACAAACTCCTCACTAGTGCAAGGAAGAGCAGCAAGTGAATTTCATTCATGGATGTCACCATCATACATGCAAACCATGAACTAAAAAGAAACAGAGACTTGAGGGAGATAAAAAAGTAGGTCTTTCACATCTAATCCATTTTAATTATCTCCTCTTAAAACTGAGTTTAAGTAGCATATGGTAATCTCACTATACAATGAGTGAATTATATATTACCACAGGCATGTCTTGGTCCCTGAAGATTGACTCTTCAAGATTTAAAACAGTTCAAAACAGACTGTAAAAAAAAGGAGCAGGATGTCTTGTAGAGAAAAAAATACGAGAAATGGCAGAATAACCACAGGAAAATAATTTTCTCGATCAGTGAAAGGGAGGATCATTTTGATTCTTACAGAGTATAGTACCATTTCTATCCCTGCCAGCTTTGGTGATGATGAATTCCACACATGAAATATACTGCAAGTGATTCAGAAAGCAAATTAAAAGTAGCTTTTGATGGGGCATTCAGGGTGTTAGTTGTTGGCTACATTATCAGTGCATCAGCATATCATGAAAACATTGCTTGATACCATGAAACATGAGACCATGCCTTATCTTTCAGAGCTCTGAGCATGAGGAGGATTTAAGAGTAGTCTGAAAAAAACAGTATATGTGCTCAGCTGAGTATTATTCCCAGTTTATCCTTGTAGTCATTGGTTTGTCTGAATATGATCAGAGTTCAATTATACGAGTTTCTGTAATAAGTTTTACAACAGTCCCGGGAACACAAGGCAATGTGGAAGATTACATACATGTTTTATCTCCCTAGTTTACCTTATAAGGTGTTTGATTTAACTGACAGTCAAATCATTCAAGTTTCCTGTGTCCTACACTGGAAGTTTGTCTGTTAGGTTACCCTTTGCATGGTGCTGACTGGGCTAGGCAATTCTGTATCCTGAGGTTCCCTTTTCCAGTACTCCTTGTACACGCTTCAGCTGTGACATTTGACCAGAAAAAGGAGCAACAAATGTAAACCTCTTATAAAGTGTTGGATTCCTCTGACAATCTCTGTCTCTACTCTCCTGAGAAATTGAAAGCAATTTGACTGAAATGAGTCTGGCCCAGGTCAGCTGTCTGGTGATCACTGATTTGTCCCTTTTTTATTGCATGCTGGTAAGGAAACAGAAGCACTGGAAGGTGCAGTAGCATGGCTGAGACCTTCCTGTCTAAAAATGAGCATGAGGGGCAAGACAGGAGCACAGACAGGAGAGGCTGTGCCATTGAAACTGGGTGCAGATGCCAGGACCTTTTAACTCTAGTCCTGTCTTTGTCAGTCTCTGCCTACTGTGTGAACTTGAAGAAATCACCTGAGCTCCTTTTTGCTGTATGTGGATAGGGAATTCCTGATGCCCCCTTTGTAAAGCATTTTGAAACGTCTGGTTGCAAAAAATGCTGTGTGTCAAAACACACTGATTAACAGACTTACTCTTTGTTAGCCAGAGGACTTCTCCAAAGACCCCCATGAGGCTTACCATTAATTTATTGCAAAGAGTTCTACTGAACTGGTTTAATTTTATGATTTTTTTTTGTCTGTCTCTCTGTCTCTCTCTCATTGGTACTGGGCAGGTGAGAAACCACACCAATGCAGCATCTGTTGGCGCTCCTTCTCTTTAAAGGATTACCTAATCAAACACATGGTGACACACACTGGCGTGAGGGCCTACCAGTGCAGTATCTGCAACAAGCGCTTCACCCAGAAGAGCTCCCTTAATGTGCACATGCGTCTCCACCGCGGGGAGAAGTCCTACGAGTGCTACATCTGCAAGAAGAAGTTCTCCCACAAGACCCTGCTGGAGAGGCATGTGGCTCTGCACAGTGCCACCAACGGCACGCCTGGAGCCGCCGGCACCGGCGCGAGGGCTGTCCCCGCCGGCGTGGTGGCCTGCACGGAGGGGACCACGTACGTCTGCTCTGTCTGTCCAGCTAAGTTTGACCAAATTGAGCATTTCAACGACCACATGAGGATGCATGTGTCAGACGGATAAGTAGAATCTCTCTCTCTCTCTTTGTTATGAACAACAAAAATAGAAACAACAAAAAAAGCTATGGCACTAGAAATTAAGAAATTATTTTTGTTTCATTTTTACCTTTATTTTCCTCCTTTTTTTTGGGTTCATTTCGTTTTGTTGTTTTTTGTACTACATGAAGAACTGTTTTTTGCCTGCTGGTACATTACATTTCCGGAGGCTGGGTGAATAATAATTTTCCCAGCCTCCCTCGGATGGTGGCCTTAAGGCCAGGTAGTGCTTCATGAGCTCCACTGGTTGGATCTCTAGCTACTGGCCTCTAAATACAACCCTTCTTTACTACAAAAAGCAAACAACAAAAAAAAAAAAAAACACAAAAAAATTTTAAAAAACAGACAAAAATAATTTAAAAAAATCTTTTTTCTCACTTGTGAAGAGCACTACAAATAAAGAAACAAAACAAAATATATTACAAATCTACAAGGCCTACTGTCATTATAAGTACACCGCTTGCAGTGTTTCAATGGACATGATTCACATTGCTGACCGCTTTTGGACTTCACAGTATCCAGTTAGAACTGTGGAATATTTTGCTTCTGGTTGAGCAGCAACCAGAGGAAACAAGGCCCTGCTGGTTTCCACCACGTGTCTGCTTTCGCACACACACACGCATCCACAAACACACAGAAAGGGCTGAGGGGAATGCAAGGCAGTGTGGCTTGGATAGTGTGGAGTCCCTGCAGGATGAGGAAAAAGAATCAGAGGTTCCTCACCTGGATTCTGCTCCATGTCTCGCTGTCCAGCGCACCCTCCCTGCTGCTTTTCTCGTACCACCACCACCTTATAGCAGAAACCAAGAAGATTCAGACAACGAGCAACGGTGGCTTTTTTGTAATTTATTCAGTGTCTTCGCTGAGCACAGGGCCTCAGCACAATCAAGAGGGACTTTCACAGAAGGCAAAGAGAAACACAGAGGAAAATCAAAGATATCAGAGGTTGCAACCTATGGATCTAGGTACAAGAGAAGGGTTAGTTCCCACAATCTTTGCAAAAAAAAAAAAGTTGCATCAGGATTTATTCTTGTGGAAGAAAGAGGAATAGAGGGTGGGAGGGGAGGGGAATAATAATTAAAAAAAAAAGAGTTGTTGGGACTTTTTTAATTCAAAATTTTATAGAGGGGCAAAAGTGACGTTTACCAGATAGAATGCTGATTTTTTTAATATATTTACAACAGTATTTGTGTAAAAAAACAAAAAAAGTGAGATTGTTAAAAGTAATTTTTCTTTGTTTTCTCTTTTGTTTTGCATACACTGCCACTAATATCTTCTCTTTTATTATATATATGAATATATATAAAAATATATATTTTATTTTAAATTGAGACTGTTAAGGTTAGCTAACCTGCTTCCAGATAGAGGGGGGGAGGGGAGATGATCTTGATTTTTATTTTAAAAAAGAGGAAGGATGTTTTCTTTATTTTCTTTTCTAGTATTATTCTCTCTGTTTTCTAATGGAATCAAGAATTACCTGGGTCGATGAGGGGCTCTGTGAAGTCATCTGTGAGATTATCTACTAGTTTTGTGCATCCTGCAATATCTTTTGAACTGCTACTTTGTTTTTTTGAATTACATGGTTCTCTTTTTGGCTCTTACCAAGCTTCTGTTGTTTCTTTTTTGGTTCCATCTCAGAATTTATTTCTGCTGAAGGACGTTTCCTTTTGAGAAAGAGATTTTTCTAGCAATGTTCCCTTGTTTTTGGGGATGATATAAACTGTAGTCTTTCTTCTTTGAAAAAGTAATGAAAGTTTTGAAGTGTGTAATAACTAGGATTTCCCTTCTTTTTGGTCACTGGACAAGAATTAATCTGCTGTATTGTTGTCTCATCCCTGCCTTGCTCGCTAGAGAGCTTCCGTATTTGTGTGGGAATCGGATCCTGCCCCCAGTAATTTGTGCTGATGCCAAAACAACTTAAAACGTTACCATTGCAAATAATCTTCCCTTCATTTGCAAAAAGTCTGACTGAAGGGCCACATCCCACATTCTCTGCATAGACAAAGCTATGAAAGGAATGTAGGATCAGTGTGAAAGATTGATTCCTGATCTGCATATATATGTTAGTGTTTTGTATTTTGTTTTATTGTGTTTGGACTGATGTTCTCCCTAGTTGTCTTCTGTGTATCTGTGTACGAATTTTTCCCCCAAAGCCAACTCCCAAAGTACATGGGTCCTTAGTTCAGTTGGATCAGTGTTTGACACTATCTTTGTCTTGCTTGAAATCCATATGAGGACTTACACCAACTGCACTCTGGACTTCATATTTTAGGCAGAGAAGAAGCACCTAACAAAAATATGCAAAAAGGAAAAAAAGAAAAATTGCTAGTTTAGCTTTCATTTGTGTCTATATTTAAATTAAGCTTTCTTAAGTTTACAAAACTTTTTGCTTGTGAACACTGAGCATTTCACGAGACATTCTTTTATGCTGGACAGCTTTCTGAGTATTGACTTGGTAGATCTCCATATACAATTTTGCATGTTCTTTACACCTGCGGCTTCTCTATCAGATGCCCGTGATTCAGTACAGGTAACTTCATCCATATGTTCTGTGCCTGTTCCATTACCATTTATTTGTGGGAAAAAACCTGACAGGTGGTTCAGTCTCAGAATCTTTCTGTACCCTGCAAGGTACTGTTCAGCAGATCCTAAATGCTGAAGCCCAGATTCTTGGCTGCAATATGCAGCATAGAGAGACCTTGAGGTGAGTGCCAGAGCAATTCAATCTTTTATAAGGTAATGTCTTTCTTTGTTGCCAACTTGTTTGGGTAGTTCAAGGAGCTGGAGAAGGAGCACAAGTTCATTAACAAATATTGTTTTAATAACCACACTGGTAAAAGCAACTCAAAGCAATGTAAATCAAGACATGAAAAAACAAAGCCCAAGACACAGAGGGAGAACTGATATCTGCCATTTAGACACACTAAATCTATACAGAAAATAAGGTTCTGGAGACTAGAATGCAGAAGAAAATGAGGAAGGTGAACCTAGACAAAAGGATGGAAAGTTCTTTTTCGGGGAAAGGAAGGTTTTTTCCTGAGATCGTTTGTATCAAAGAATAATCTCCCATATGAGGAACTAGTGAACAATTTTACCCAACTTACAAATATGTAGCTGCTTATTTGTCATCTGAGGTTTGGAGAAAAGCTGTTTAATTTGCCATTGTAAACCTGGTGAACTGTAGTCAAGATGTAGCATATTCTGGAATATACTTCTGATACCAGAAGAGATATGCCAGTAAACATGAAATAAGAATCATGATCTACGTCCACCAAAATGCAAATACTATCCAAATTTTAATCCTTCAGTTTTCATCCTTCCCTAAATCAAAGCATTATCTTTGAAATGCCAATTTTTATAAGTTCTAATAAATTTGAAGTGAATTAAAGATAAGTTGTGAATGAATGAATGAATGAATGAATGAATGAATGAATGAATGAATGAATGATGCCAATTAAAAAAAACAATAAACATAGTTCTTAAAGTAAAGCAAAGGCATACTAACTGGATTGAATTCTGAAACACTTGTCAAAGAATTTAGGCCTAGGTCTTCAGAAATGACTGCCTGTAATATAAACTGATTTTGTTGGACTTCCAGATTCAATCTTGTAAAACATGGAGCAACTTGCTGCATGCCTGCTAATGTGGCTTAACGTGCTTGTCAGGTCATTCTGAATTTAGAAGCTCAAACATAGCCCCCTTTATCTTTTAAAGTGTTAGATTCTCTTTGGCAGTTCTTCCTCCCATCTTTGAAATACTTATTTGCTACTTGGAAACAACTATAATATCTGAATGTTACAGCTATATTCAAGCTTCATATATTGCTACAATATGCCTTTGCAAAAGGAATAGCAGTCACCGTGATCTGGAAACTGCTGCTGACAATGTTTGAGCGAATCTCTCTCAAAGAGAGAAGCTTGAAAGGCTTCCTTCAAAACACCCAGGGAAATGATACAGATGAGAAAATGCAGACTGTCGCACACATCCTTTTGTTGAAGCATGCAATATCCTGCATTCCTTGAGCTTGATTCTCTCTTTTGCTAAAGCTCTCTATATTGCTTTGGTGATGGAAAAGGCCATTAAATAGAACATAAATTCAAGCTTACAAGTCAAGGCCTCTCTGCAAGGCATAAGTGCAATAAAGGAAGCCTTAGAGTGAATGAGAAGTGCCTTCTTGTACTGCTGCTGAGGCTGGTGAAGTGAATTGGAAATGTAGGACTGCCTAGAAGCAGATCTCCCCTGTGGTCCATCTCACCCAATACTGCATCTCTGCCATGTGGCGAGTTAGAGATGATTTGAATGAAGATGAAAGACCAGTGTTGGATTATTACAAAGCAATAAGCCTAAGGGAGAAGATTTATTATATAATCCTCATTAACTATTTCTACATATAAAATACATATAAATACAAATAAAACATGTATTTGCCTGCAACCTAAAGGCATAATAATTCATGGCTTTACCTTTTTATCCCATATAAAAATTATGTACTGTGGCAAATAATTCTCATTGTCCTTGAAAGATCTAGCTTATTCATTTTTAGATGGCCTCCATGATTTCCTGTGAAAGTGAGTTCCTCCTGTTAATTACCACATTGTTGAAATTATTGCCTTTCAAATTTTTTTTGTTGTTCATTAAAACACCCTTATTCTTGTATTATATGAAATCACAAATCAGAGAACCAAAATTCAACTTCTCTTGCCTATTTCATTGAGATCTGCCTCTCTCTGGGAAGCTGAATCCACAAGGAATGCAGGACCACAAGCTCGGTGTCTGCTGAATAGCAAGGAGAGGGCAGCTCCTGAGCGTGTCCGTGTGTGTTTGGGGCATGTGCATTAGCAAGGTTCTCCTACAGTGATCTCTTGCAGGGTACTGGCAGGAACAACTCATAAATAATGGGAACCTAGCAGCACAGTAACTGCTCTGTAAATTGTAATATGATATTTCAGTCTGGTCCCTCCTCTCATAAAACCACATTAATAGTCTCTCTTAATGGAAATAGATGTAGGTGTTTTGCAAGAACTGCTCTGAGGACACTTTCTCAATATCCATCATGCTTCTACTAGGCCCACTTCTGGCCCATGCTGTTACTTTCAAAAACAGCTCAAGTTCCCAGTAAGGTAGAAGGGAAGAGTGGCATTTAATTGACTTTCTAAGTGAATGAGACTTCCCTTTGCTCGAAGACCAAAGAACCCAAGTGGAGCCTGGGTTTTTCTTCTTTTGATTTCTTTTTCATCCAAAGGAGAGCTGAGTGTTAACCCACGTACCATTAGCACCCCACTTCTTGTCAACCCCACTGACTGGGTTCAGTTGACCTTGAGGTACTTGATTAATGCTGGATTACTGACATGGTGGAGGAACTAGTCTCTTGCCTTTAGTGAGTATTATCCCAACATCTCCTGTCTCCCGTAGTAATGAAACAAGTCCCATAGGGAGAAGGTACAAGACATACTCTTTGTAGGGATGTCGAGTCCAATCCAAAATCAGAAGCACCCAAATAATTTCAAACATAATCAGTATGTCATAGATCTGTGACTCTCCTGACAGTCCTATGCTAAGGAAATCCTCCAGCTCTCACTCCTGAAAATTGTTTGCTGCTCAAAAGGAAAAAAATAGCACGAGCCTGGAAAAGAGAAGGGTCCAGGTAGACCATCAAAAGCCTGACAAGACAGCTGGAGAGGGACCTTCCACAAGGGCATGTAGTGGTAGAACTGGGAGGAATGGCCTTAAGCTGGTGGAGTGTAGGTTTAGATTAAATATTGGGAAGAAGTTCTTTATGATAAGGCTGGTGAGATACTGAAACAGGTTGCCTAGAGAAGGTGTGGGCTGTAGGTGTTCAAGATCGGGCTGGATGGGGCTTTGAGTAACATGGTCTAGTGGAAGGTCCCCTGCACATGGCAGGGGGCTTGGAACTGGATGATCTTTAAAGATCCTTACAAGCCAAACCATTCTATAATTCTATGATAATATCAAATTAGCACCTAGGGGTTGTTCTGCCAAGAAGGACTATGACTTGATAATCAACCCTTTTAATTAAGCATCCAGGTCCTCTGAGCCATTGGAATAAACACAATAGTAAAGAGTCAGCAGGTAGCCTAACTGAAGCAGTATCTGATTGGCCTGAAGCAAAACAGCTACTTTCACTTTCCCTGATTTGTTCTTTTACTGGCTGTGAAAATTCACGAAGGAGGTATAAAGTCATGAGAACTTGGCCCTGAGAGGTTTTGAGCCTCGTCTTCTCCCAGAAGGTTTGTTTTCAATTGACCACTAAATAATCAGAATTCTGCCGAAAAAAGGCTTATGAGGGAAACTACAGATAACACATTAAGTCTGGAATCTTGAATTTGTAAATGCAATGAACACCTTTTCCAGCACTTGGCAATCCTGCTGACAGAAACCAAATGCAGGTAGAAAGACCTTGCAGAGGGGCAGGTGCTGAAAATGCCAAGGGTCTGCAGCATGGCCAGTAAGACAGGCAAGTGTATAGAGGTGGCCTGGTGCTGGATACACATCCACAGGGGCTGGTTCTAGCCATGCCAAGTCAGTGTTCTTGCTGCTGTTCACCTTATTTTCATGCAAGAAGTAATAAGCTCTCAGCTGGTTTCCTTTAAAGCTACTCAGTGATCCAGTTCATTTCAGCCAGAGCAAAGAAGCCCCCGTATTTTCACAGATCACTAAGCTGGAAAATATAGAGAGCGTTTTAGGTATATGCATATTCTTCAAACTGACAAAATAAAAATGTGGGTTATGCCTTCTCTAGCAAAAAACAGAGAAATTTGGTCCACGAGGGACAGAACCTGTTTGAAACAGAGGAACACTTAACTCTCTTAGACCTATTGTTATAAGGCAACACAAGGGGGAATCTTTGTCTTGTTTTTCTAAGAACATATGTAAATGAGAAACAAGATGTGTTAGGTATTAGTGTGTATCCATCTAATTATTCCCAGTGCTGATAACTAATCAATTATATTAGTGCCTCTAAGAGTAGAGAAAATATTATGCTTTCATTGTTGTTATTTCTGCTCCCCCTCAGCTATAGATCAGGAGTACCTAAGGTGGAAAGAGCTACACAAATGAGAAATTTTGGTGAACAAAAGCATTATTTCCCTGTGTAGGTGTGCCAGTATCTGGACAAATGTCCTCTCTGAGTTAGAAAGGATATCTAACTGTAGATAGGATACTGTTAGATAATTTTAATTTTAAAATTATGCTTCTAGTGAAAAAAAATGCAAAGTTAAATATTAATCAATATTTTTTCATTATATATTTAGCAGTGTTGCTGATCATTTTGTATTTTAGCCTCTGCAGTAGCATTTGACTCACAAGCATTAAGAGAGAGTTCAAGACAGGAGAAGCAGAGATTACTGATGTACTGTGAAGAAGATTGAAAAGTAAATTGAACCCGTGTGCTTTAATTCGCTATTCATGCTGCAACTAATGTGCTTTAATTCGCTATTCATGCTGCAACTAAATTCAACTAAAGAGTTTCCAGGTTTATTTTAAAATAAAAGAAGACAAATATAGTCTACACATCCTTCTAGCAAAGTCATATCAGGAGAAAAGTAAATCATGGTTTTTAAATGCCAATTTCCCCTAGAATTGTTCATTAATAGCTTTTAAAATAAAAGAGGCCAGTTCAAGATAAGCAGAACTCTAATGTTTTAACACAGTTATTCACGTTACACATGATCATAGTTTCCACTACCACCTGAACTTCACTGACTTTCCCCAAAGTCAGTGAACTGAGATTTTTGTGCGCAGCCACATATGCCCAAAGACACTCTTCATGTTTCCCATAGGAAAAGGAGAGTAGCACTGAGGTAAGCAAACCAATCACAGAATCATAGAATCATTAATGTTGGAAAAGGTCTCTGAGATCATCGAGTCCAATCATTAACCCAGCTCTGCTAAGCCCACCACTCAACCATGTCCCCAAGTGCCAAATCCACACCTGTTTTGAGCACTTCCAGGGCAGTGTTTCCACCACTTCCCTGGGCAGCCTGTTCCAATTTTTCTTCCCTTTTAGTAAAAAAAATTTTCCTAATATCTAACCTGATCTTCCCCTGGTACAACTTCTGGCCACATCCTCTCATCCTGTCACTTGTTAGCTGGGAGAAGAGCCTGATTCCCACCAGGCTACAATCTCGTTTCAGGTAGTTTTAGAGAGTTCCCCTTTAATCCCCTTTTTCCCAGATCCCTCTGTAGAACCTCCTAAATACTTTCTTAGCTGTATTTTAACACCCCAATTTACACATTTTTCCTCAACTATTTTTCAAAAAGCAACATTAAGATACTTCCTTGGGAAGTAAATACACTACAACCTTGAATACACTACAGCCTCACAGACAATTGCTTTAAAACAGAAATACATCTAAGCAGTATGCAGTGTGTTTATGTTTGGTATCTGTAGCAAAGTTTCATCTAAAATGTTCCCTTCTTACAAAAAATATCATGTTTTCCTCTTTGAAAGGGTAGGGAAGAAGGAATGTTAGTGAGGCATAGTGATCTCTTCATATTGGATGGTGTTTTTCTGCTGTTTCTTACTTTGTTATACTTCCAATTTTGTTCCTCTTCCAAAGTGATTTCTTTTTGATTGGTTGGTTGGCATCAGCTCCCTATAAAACACTGGAGAGTAAATGTTCTTTCTAAATCAAATTAATAATATGGGGGCACGGCTATGTGATTTGACTCTAGCTTCTCCAGTGCCAGTGAAATTCATGAAAGAAAATCCAGTGAAAAGCTACTTTCAAGGGACAAATTCTGTTCTAAATTTCCATCAGCGCAACCCGTATTGGCACTTTTGGGATTCCATGCATGTCACTGCAGATAAATACAGCCCCTTTGGATAGTTTAGCTGTGATATCTTTTAAGAAAAGCATATTCTAAAAATATCCTTTGCTACAGCAGTACCATTACACAAACAAACGAACTACCAATATCCCATCATATGTGAGAACTTCTACCTAGTTCAGCCCAAAGGGGCATTTATTTTTGTTTTCACTCCTCATGCAAACTTTCTTAGCACTTGAGCCCTCTCTGAGCTGCAACCACCACCGGCATCCCTCATAAATTCTCTCTGTCACATTGGGCTCAGGTATTACAGTACCCCATATGCTTTCATGAGTTCCCCACTGGAGCCTTTCCTGCTGGAAAATCTGGTACCAGTGTAACAAAGCATTGCTTACTTTAGGTATTTTCCAGACAGAACTGCAGACTTCTACAGTGTTCAGTGTTTCTACTGTTGACTTATTGGTGATTTTTTTGCCAAGTTCACAGTGGCACTCAAGGAATGTGCAGAGCTCAGTTAGGTACTTGTTGTGTTCACCTGTCTGATTCTGCAGTGTCCTGTTCCTACAAAACAGGCAGGTATCTTTCTGAGATTTTTTTCCTACAAACTGGACAGATACCTTTCTGAGATCTAGATATTAAATAGGCACCTTTTCTATTTCATTTTGCTTCTTCTCTTTTTGCCACCTGGATATTGCCATATTCTTCATTAAACCACATAAAGCCCCCTAGAAGTTCAGCCCTCATGTTGAATATATACTTGATTAGAGAGTATCATCACATTCAAGAAACAGGATTACATTTACCCAACTGCCCAGCTTTCTTTTAATTTTTCCCATTTAGTCCTTTACTTTCATTTGTCTTGTAGGCTGTTGGTACCTATGGGATCTTTGAGTAAAATCACATTATATTGCCTGCGTGTGTGTGTGTGTGTGCGTGCAGTTGTATGAGCGTGCATGTGGATGTGTGCATGTGCAGGGACAGCCAGTTACCTGTTCCTGCCTTTACATACTGGCTGCTAATTGAGTGTGTGGACATGCATGGTTTTGATGCAGGGAAGGCTTTAGATGAAACAAGGATTACAGCATTAACTCTGGAGCATTGGCAGGTGACTAATGAAAAGCAGGTATACTACTCATACACTATATATGCACATGTATATTCATAAAAAGCAGTCCGTTAACCAGATGCTCTTTGCTGGATGTTTGCCCAAATTAGATGTTTGCCCTCATTAAAAATGTGACACCCAAATTTGGTCCAGGATATTTTTGTGAGTATCCATTCCGAAGGGAAGGCTGAAGTGTGCCTCACAGGGCCTTATGTGGTCTTTCAGCCACAAAATAAATAAAACAGTCCATCTCAGCAGGCTTCACTAGCAGAGAGAGGCATCCATGGGGGATGACAGTCCTGGAACAATACTGTTGAGTTCAGTCACTTGTTTCCATTGAATTTCAACATGTCTACCTTGCAAAGGAATAAAATCCAAGCAAAATAACCTGCCTGTTTGCTCCCTTAAAATAACAGTAAAAAATTATCAAGCCTTTAATTAGTTAGCAGCACAATATATTGATAGACTCTAAAATACTCCAGGTCTGGAGTCTCTAGTTTCCAAAACACCATGTCAAACAGCTCTTTCCCCACCTCAGGTACTCTGAAACATACTGATTGAGTAATCCATTCCAAATGTGCAATCGCTAACAAATAGCAAGTAATGTTCTCTGCCTTGGTCTTTGCCAAAATCTTTTCAGGATCATGGTTAGTGTGTCTAGAAGATTAGCAGATATTCAGGAGGAGGAGAAATTGGTCAGTAAGATTATTCAGTATGTAATCCATGAGAGCTGCAGGATTTCTAGAACCCATTTTGCACCCATTTAGTTAGTGGGATGAATATGTTTAACTACAGCTGCCTATTTTGGTATCATGCTAGCCCTGAAAGCAGCATTTTATTCTTTTAAGTCTTTTGCCTGACTAGGGGATTTTCCTTGTTCCAGAAAGGGTAATTAAAGATTTAGTAGGATACCTTTTTTTCTTTCATTTTCAGTCATAAAAATGTGAGTAAATATTCTTCTCAGATTGGTGGCATATCCCTTCCCCTTTTGAATAAGACTTTAATGCAACAGTTTTGGCTGGTTGATTTTTGGGTGAGATTTTTATTTTGGTTTGGGGTTTTCCTTTGGTTAAATGTACATTGTCTCTCTATAGTCAAAATGTCTGTGATTGTAACAGTATGTATTTCTTTTACTGGAGAAAATAGACTTTTTGGTTTTTGTTAACAGTACTAGTGACTTTGTGGAAAATGACAAGTTGCTATTTAGATCTGCTTAGTTAAGTACAGTACACTACAATACAGTATTTCTGAAAGCTAGAACATACAGTACACAATATATATAGCAATTCTATATCAATATATATACATAGTATAATCATTTAACTTTTGCATCTGCCTACAATCATAGAAAAATAATTTTTCACATGTATCATTCACAACCCAATCAACTGCTGCATCTATTTGGAGCATTTACCAATAATTATTACAGCTCTATTGTGCTTTTTCATATTATTAGCTTCTTTATTGTCTTCACAAGCATTTTTTCAGGCTTTTTTAAAATCTCTATGTAGTAAGATGTAGAAAACTTTTTTTTTTAAGAAAAGGTAAAACAGTATTAGGCTCTACAAAAAATTAGAGATTGTTCCCTGCTATCCTTTCATATCAAAAGAACAATTAATCAAGACAAATATCTATTAGCTCTCTTCCTAAGATGTCCTGTTATTTCATTTCTAAAAGTGTATGTCAGACTTTTCCTCTTCCATTCCTAGCCTTGGAGAAAGATGCCGAAAGTGGTCTCTCACTCCTTCCAAATCCTGTTTCTTTAAAGTTTTAAGATTTCCTAAAATTCTCCTCTGCACTAGGGTGAGGTAGAAGAAACATTGTTCTCTGTATAGTTACAAAGAATGTGGCCAGGGATTGAACAAGAAATACCTCCATCCATGACTATTAATATATTCCAATTATTCCAATATATTCCAATCCTTATTTATCCACTTGATCACCCCTTTTTCAAATGAAAACAACCTCTGAAAGTTTTAGTTTCAATTCATAAGTTCTTCTAGATGAATGTTCCCTTTACCATCTTCATAGTACAATCCTGTTGGTTTTGAATTTTGGGTCACTCCCACTGGACTTCAATTGTCACCACGGAACTGCTGAAAAAGATGTCACTAGGGATATGTCAACGTCTAGATCCAAAAGCCCAGAAACAGCTGATTGACACCAAAGCCTCATGAGTTTGGGTGTCCTTTCTGTATTCTCACCTTGCAACAGATGGCTCAGGCAGCAAGCCTTGGTTCAAAATTAGTAAGAGTGCCAACTTATTAGAGTATGGAAATTTATGTTGGCTTTTCTATATATCAGGAATATCTAATTTGGTTGATGTTTATTCTTTGGTGGATAACATATCACTCCTAAATGAAACCATTTAAAATCAAGTGGATGGGGGTTGTGGAGGAGGTATTAATTTTGTCTCATTTCTCCTAACTGTGAAGACTGGAAGAAATGAGAGATGGTCACGTCAGTTACAAACCATTTTCACTGAGAATGAGCAAATCTGTGTCACTGCAAATCAATAAAGTTTTTTTGGAGTAAGAAGAGAGGGAAAGAGTTACCTATGCCACAGCTTGGGATATTAAAATGAGAACTTCAAGAATGGGAATTATCAAGTGCCGGCATTCCTAACAGTCTCCTGTCATCTGCCATTTGCACGTACGTGGAGGCCACTACCACATTCTTTTTCTTTCTACTTACAGTTTAAAAGTTATGGTCTTCCAGCAGTGATTTCTGAGTCTGGCTTTCCTTCACTCTGTGTATACCCATTTGTAAGGGAAGGAGGAGACTATCCTCTCAATATTAGTTACACAAGTAACAGAACTAGATTATTTCGTGAAGGATGGGCTTTGTCCCATTAAGCCAAATAGGTGCCATTTCCCAAATTAATTCCAGTTAGCTGCTGCAACAGAATGCTGATTCAGTGGTCCACATTTTCTGACCATGCTCTTTGCTTTTCCTTTGACTGAATGCTGAATCATACATATTTTTGTAGAGAGTGTTCTCACTTGAGTGAGAATACCAGATCATTTAAATGGCTACATACCCATTCCACACTTGCCCTGCTAATCCTTTGTAAGGTTCAGTAATTCATTTAGCACAAAATACTAGTTTAATGTGTTTCTTGATTTAATTTCTTTGTTGCCTTTTATTTTTCCTAATGCTTTTTTAAACACCTCAATTCATTTTGCATGTTATACAGTTTACAGTTTATATTTTTAGGCTAAGAAGTGGTTTTACAAACAGGATGGTACCAAACAGGTAGATTATCCACACTAGAGATTGTACTTTTAGAACGCAGTGTGTACAGATACAATTGCCTAAGGGAAAGTGAAACTAACAAATAATCAGCTGGTGAACACTATTTTAACATATCTTCTACATAAAAGACAGTCAGTCATTTGTGATTCCAGAAATCTTGCTTTTTTTGAACATGTATCCTTTCTTTTTTGTTCTCTGAAGAAATACTCATCTTGAGAATTGTGATGTTTTAAGAAACTCATTTCATATGTGCATATTTTCTGCTTTTCTAAGGAGAGAGAAAACAGGAGGTGATATCAATTTTACAGTTCTAAAGATTCTTGCATTGGCGACTTTCCTTGAATGATATTAACATCAAGGGAAGACAGTCCAAATATTAGCTTTATTCTAGGATGTGGTTTTCATTATTACTTTCATTTTCCATCTCCTTGTTGACCAAGTGGACTTCCAGGGCTAATGCAAGCAATGGTCTCACGTTTCAGTGGTCAGCAGCATTTATATTCAGCTCCTTTTTGCACTTCTTTTGTGTTTTGTTCAGCTTCTGAGGAACACAACAGTTGAAGTAGGTAACACTGTTACCACAAGAGGGAGAGCCTTGTACAAGAGAATGTTACTCTGTGCTACTGTGCTGGTACAGAAAGGGATTTTAAAGCTCTTTGCTGCAAAGTTAAATAAGAGGAGAGTCCCCCACTTTGGGGATGTTTGCACCAAAGACAGGGGGCCTCCCAGGAGAGGGAGATGCTTGAACTCCATACAAGGGACTTGCTCTTCACCTGTTCCACTTAGAGGAAAAGACTGAATCTCCAGTATCTGCTGCTGCTCTTTTTTTTTTCTTCTTAAGTATGAATAACTTGTAAACAATTTATAGTTCCTATTTATTGGTGAAAGAAGTGTCACCACATTTATTGGAGTCAGAACTATTTCTTCACAAGTAGCTTCACAAATATCTTCATTGTCTGTCGGGGTGTCCTGTTGCTTTTGTCCTAATGCCAGGATGTAGCTTGGACTGCTGTGAAACTCACGGGAGTCCTTTAAATCTGGAATTTATTCCCAATTTTGTATGTTCTGAACAATCAGTTCCCTAGATCCTTGCTCCAAAGTTCAGGTTCAAAGAAATTCTCCCAATGAGTTAAAATGGAAAATTGCTGATTTCCCATTGCCTCCACCAATAATGAGCTTCTGTTTGTAAAACATAATAAAAAAAGCTGCTCAGTTCAGGCAGGACATACTGCATGACTTTGCTTGCCAGCAGTGAGGTCCATGGTTAATCCTGAAAACTGATTGGACCAATAATCTGTGGGCCAAATTCTGCAGGCAGGACTCGCATGCCCTTTTGTTGACTTGAGTCCATTTTCTGTGATAGAGAAAGCATATGTCCTCCTACAGAAAGCTGTAGTCCTGGAAAATAGTTTCATGTACATTATTTAAGATGCCACAGAACTGTTCCCCATAATTTAGCCTGTTTCTGCCCAAAGTTTTTACTACTCATAAAACTGACTCAAGATTTGATTTCACTCTACCAGGCAGATTTTGCCTGTGTTGAGGGCTGTGTGATTACATAGTCTCATATTCTCTCCTTCTCACTGAGAGACTTAATTAAAAAATGTCCTACAGAGCGTGACAGTTGCTTGCCTTTATACAAGGCTTGGAACTTGCTTTTTTCATAGAGTCCTAAGTAGCTTTGAATCTTTCTTTGGGTTTGATTGATGATTATATGTTTATTTTAAGTAATCAAATAGTGAGCCACAACAGGTAGTGTATATACATGATTCATAGCAATCCCTTTTCCCTAATTTACACCCTTGATGTGTCACTTTTGAATTGCCAAAACAGTGTAAAAGCATTTGGGTATTGGATATTTGGAGTTGATTCCAGGTTTCTGACTGCTTCACCCAGAATTGCTCTGGCCACACATTTGCTGTTATGGTAGCCACATATTTATGTGGGTAAAGTAAATTTGTTTCTTTATAATATCTGATTATGTAACTGCAAATTCAGGCTATACATCAAACTCTTTTGGTACACTTTTTAAAAGTGCTACTGCATTTGGTGTGCAGGAGGATAGACAGCATGAACAGCATTTCAGCAAAAAGGTAGGACCCCCGTGAAGTACATGCAGCTGAACAGCAAAAAACCTCATTGCTGCTGATTATTGTGGCTAAATTGAAGTTTGTAGGCTTTACAGAACAGCTGGCAAGTGTTATTCATTTTTTGTCCCATGTATGCTCAGGCATGTGTTGCATCACTGTAGCTCTACACCCAGAGACAGTGGGTTTAGGTGCTGTCCCTTTGCAATGCCTAGTGATTCCATTATGTGCTCTTTATTTTTCATTATAGGCTCATTGGTAAAGATAAACAACAAAAGTCCTTGCAGTCTGGCATTTTTAAGGTTTAGAGGTAGATATTCAGGATGCCTCCACCCCTATTTAGATTCTTTTTCTTAGGTTATTTCCTTGTTTCTATGCATGGGGATGAAACAGTGCACTTGCCTGGAGGGAAGGATGCAGTATCTTTGCAAGAAAAAGAAAATTGAGAAAATTGCTTCTTGGTTGTAATTTGGTATATCTGTTGGTATCTGCTTTTGTTTACATTCTGGGGTGGGCTGCCATCTTCAACAAGGGCCTGGGAGCGAGGGAAGAGGCAGAAGGTAAGAGGAAGCATGTGCTTGAGCCCAAGTGAAGCAGCATGCAGTATTCCTTTATATACTGAGCAATTACAATGAGATTAGTACAGCAGCAGCAGCATTGCCCTGTTGTGTTCCATTTTCCATACATTTCCTTTTCTTGCTCCTCCTTCTCTGTTATGGCCTCTTACACTGTTTTAATGGCTCCCCACACCCCTTTCCTGTAATTACAAGGGTTTGATTGAGGCTCTTGTGGGTGTCCAAATTGAAGTTATAACCTCCAAACTGGTGAATACCCCAAAGTCTTTGCTGTGTTTTCCCAAGTGATGTCCTTACGAGTGGCAAGCCCTGGCATATGGTTTGTTGATTTTTTTTTTTGTTAAAAGAGATAGATAGGCTAGGGGAGGTGTGATCTGACTGGGATTCAGTAACCTGCTTGCCTTTGTAATTAGTGAGCTTTATTTTGATTTCCTTTTAAGTTTTCATTTTGAAGTACCTAAGAGCTTATATGCCTGTCATTAAAACTCCTGGTTTTCCCACCATAGCCCTAGATGGGCTGTGAAAAAAAAACTTTTTATATATATCCCCAAATATTTGCAGGATGGTGTAGGGAGTTGTTCATTTACGTGTGTGCCTACATGAGCAGAAGAAAACTGAAGTTAGTGTTGCTCTGTCCAATTGTTTTAGGGTGGCCAAAGAGAGCTGCCACTTTGAAAAGTTGATTGCACTACAGAACCCTAGCTTGGGCACTGTTAAAATAGGGACTGTATATTTGGAACAGGGAAGTGCTTTCATTTTTCTTATCCACACACATGCCCTTTGCAAGATGTACCCTTGCAAAGTTTGCATCAGACAACTCTGTGTAAAACCACTACTGACCTTTTTTTGCTGTATCCATTTGGTTCTCTCTCCTTTCTGCAGCCCCCAAACAATGGCTTGTCTCCTTTCTGATTTCTGTCAATTGACTTTGGTTTTGATAAATGTCCTATCTGTTAATGAGATCTCCACATTGACTGGGAGGAGAGAAAAAAAGGCATGTGAAAGTGTGGCTGGGAGACTGCAAATTCCCCTTTGTTTAGGGGCATTCATATACTAGCTGTTTTCTTGGGGGCTGGGTGGGGTGGGGAGGGAGTTTGCGCTTTTTTGGTCTGGATAAGGCTTTTTATTTTTGCACTAAGTATGACTGCACTGCACTGCATTGCACTACTGAAATGTATTTACATGTGGTGGGATTGGAAGGGGCCAATTAAGCAGGAAGGGAGGAAAGAAAGGGATAGGCACAGAAAACAGGATGTACCATAAACCTGACCGGGTTGAAAGAGAAGTGAGGTTACCTGAATTTTAAGCAACTAGTCAGACACTGAGACAGCTGTATTGGATACCTTCTGTTAAAATAAATTTAAAAAGCACTATAATAGAAACTGAAGAGGCATCATGAGTTTCTTGGTGCAACAGATCTTTTCTCCCCTTTTTATAGAGAGTGTTGTTTGGAGCTGAGAGAAAGTTAAGAGAACTGCTCATTGTGTAACTTGCGTAAGGCTTCACCATAAAGACACAAATTCCCAGTTCCAATGTCAAAACTGTGTGGTTGGATAGAATCTCTTCCAGAGGTTTGACTATGATTAGTATCCCTTCAGGAAAAGCAGGATCTCTCAGCTCAAGAAGTGAAGTCTCAAAGCAGACTTTACCAAAGGGGAAGGTCACTGAAATAAAGCATGTCTTTCTGAGGCTGTTATGGGAACAGTGCAATAAACAGTCATTCTGAACACTCAATTACAGGTGTTCCACTCAAGCCTTTGGGGTAGAGGAAGCAGGAGGGACATTTGGGTAAAAAAAATGTGGTGTGGAATTCAGTACATACAGAAATACTCCTGCTTAGACAAAGGTGCTGTCTAGCATTTTAAGTTCTTCTCTCTGATTTCTCTCCTTAAACAGATAGTCTAGCATTGTGAAGGCTTTCAGCTGGAACCAAATAGAATCCTAAATTGGAAAGTATTTTTACAGTCAAGATGCATGTTGGCTTATGCCTTGGTCATTAATTTTGTAACAAGCATACTATGAGAAAAATGAAAACAGTAGCAATGTGCAGCAAGATCCATCTCTGCTATAGCTCTTTGTGATCTATGAACTCTCAAAAATTTGTGTTGAATCTCTTCAGTAAGACTATAATTGCAACTTTAGCCAGACGGTAAAACAGGATCCTGAAAAACATTCTCTAGAGAAACTGGGAGAAGAATGTAAAACATGAGTTCATCTGCTTTGGTCCTGTAGTGGAGGGATCACCTGCCTAATGTACCACGGGGTTTCAAGGACAAAAAAGGGGATTACTAAGAAAAGAATTACTAAGAAAAGGCTAGAGTAATTGGGGGACTAGAAATCTATTAATGCCCCGAATTTCAAGTTAGACTTGAAACTAAGGTATTTTGGCTTCATTGGTACCAAGACACAGGTAGTACAGACCTCTCACAGAGTGCACAGTGCAAAGCAGATTGCTGCTGCTCAGTCTCTTCGGCTGCCTCCTTTGACAAAAGTGTCAAGAACTAGAGAAGGAGTGGTATGCAAGGGGCAGGTGTTGGGTGGGAAGGAACAAGTCTGGAACAAGGAGAGACTTTGGAGTTAAGGATGTGTTGTTCTGGTGAGCTTTGAGATTTCCACTCTTAGATTCCAGCCATCCTGGCTTGAAAGGACTGGAAGAGAAGGACTGGAGATATGCCCTGATGTACTGTTAGATTAACTACTGAATGACTCTTCCCTTGAAAGCAAGTGGGACAGTAGAACATGCAGCCTGTTTCTTTGCCATCTGCAGGAACCCTCTAAGATGAAAGCCACTGGAAGGTCAACTTCCAGTAATGAGTCAATGGATGCCCAACAAAAGCACAGTTCATTTGAGAGCTAGCATAATACAGAGGCAGGAGAGCACCTTTATTTTGTAAAGTGGCATTTGCTTCCATCAGAGTAGTGGCAGCTACAGGGCTGTTATACAGGAGGAAATTAAGTCTGTCTGATGAAGTTAATTCATGTAATGAGCCAATACTCCTGGTTTTTGCTTAGGTAAGTTTTTCTTTGCTTCCTTGTTTAAGGCAGATGCATTTATTGCTACTGTCAGAGTAGATTTGCATTGTCAAAGAGGAATAGTGGACTGCTCCAAAAAGAAAAAGTGAAGCTGAGGGTTTACTGAGCCTGCTGTGTCCAGAGTGCCTTTCCTGCTGTGGTAAAATAAAGAACTTCTGTAGGTTGAGCTGTTCTGGCTGACTGATTGCTGCATATTCCTCCCTTGTGGTCTGACCTGATGTCAACCATATTTGGACAAGGAGAGGAACACTGCATGTTTGCAATGCTGTGATAAGATGCCATTTGCACTAGTTTTTTAAAAGTACTGCAACCTGAAGAAGTGGGCTTTGAGCCATGCTCCAAATCTGGATTTGAATTCAGCCTGTTTAAACCAGATTCCAGCTGACTCAGTTTCAACAGAACTGTCTAGTCCATGTAAACAGGAACCAAACCATTTTTAAAAAGGCAAATTCTAGCTTATGTTCCTACTCGGTTACAGTGCTCAACCACACCAGTTCCTGGGCAAAGTGTGATTGTATAGTTTCAACGGCTTTTAAGAAAGTTGTTCCTTTTTACATGGTCAGTTTGAAACTAGTGTAACTGGAACTACATTTAAAAAAGCACAAACTCTTTTTGTTTTTTCAGCATGGTACTATAGCCCCATGTAGACAGTGCTTGACTGAGAAACCAAGGATAACTTGAGGTTTATTTTAAGAAGCCAAAACATATGTTGCTGACTAGAGATGCCGCATAACTTAATGCCCTATTTTTCTCCAGATGGAGAAACACTAACTTCTGTAATTCTTCTCCATTTGTCATCCTACTTCATTGTTGCACCGTTTGCCCAAAATGAAAATTCCTTTGGCCAGTGGGCGAGATCCAAAACAGAACTTTCCTGTACTGTTTGATCGTCTTGTTTCTGTATGTTCCTTTCCTCAACATTGACAAGCGCTACTGAGGATCAGCTTGAGTTTTTGCTGGGATGTGGCATAGTTACGGTTCAAGAAAATGCTAGTGATATTTTCAGCATTATAGTAATTTCAGAGCTTACCCGTGAGGAAAATGTTACATTTCAGAAGTTCCACAGGAAAAAGAAAATGCCAGGATTCACGATGGAGCTTCAGCCACAGTGCTGTAGCCAAATTGGTAGGGAATGCATTTTTGGTGACTGGAGATGCTGACATTTACAAAAGTAATTCAAAAGCAGCAGAGAATGTATGCTTTCTCATCCCTGCTGAACTAAGAGAATTTATACTAATGGAATGATCCCAGGGTAACCTGTCAGTGTTCATCACTTTTCCGCTAACGGAGGAGGCTAAGCAACTGTCACATCACCTTATACAGTCTGAGTTTGCTCCAGATCTGCTCCCCAGTGCCCTGCCATCCATGTGCCCTCTCTCACTGATCCTGGCATCCCACTGGCTGAGGATTTGTCACATCAGCCAAGGTGACCAAGAGATACACTTGGCCTCACCTAGGAGCTTTCTACCTTTTCTTTTCCTTTTTGTTTTCTATCAAACTAGGTGTGCATTTAGTGGTGAAGTAGATGTCAGGTTAGCTGTTGTTCCAAATGACAGAAATGGCAAAGCCACATGACAACTGAGCTACGGTTGTCCTCAAGGATATTGGTAAAGGTGAAAGACCAGGCTCTAGTTGGTGGTGTAGTTGTAAACCTACATCTTCTGCTGCTTGCCCCTCCAAACTTGTTTTGGTCAGCTATGCTGTTGCCCTCAAATATGCTTTGTGTGTGAAAAACTGAATGCAGTTGTTCTGTTGTCTGTCTTCTTCCTTCTGCATCATGGATGTGGCACCAACTTACTCTCACAACAAGCTTGAGTTTTGTTTTGCTGTTGTAATTAACATGTAATTCTACTGTAGACCAAAAAATATGAAAAGAAAAAAAAACAGTTTCAAGACATAAAATACCAGTGAGTGAAAGGTGAAAAATTTAGGAAGTGAAGGTGTGAGAGAAGCAGTGGTTAACTGTGTTAAGTTAGAAATCTCAGAATAGCCTTACGTATTTCTTAACCAATGCTTACCAATCATCCAGTAGTGGGGTTAGATAGCTTTCTTGGCTCATTCGTACCTGTATCCTAATATATATATATATAAATAATTTTTAAAATTTTTGTTTCTTTGGTATTGCTGTTGCACATCATGTTGTCTTTTATAATGCCTGATTTTTATTGTATTGTACTTTATCGGTCTGTTTTGGTTTTGTTTCCTTTTGAAGGATGGGAAAAGTAATGTTTCCTTTTTGTTTTGAATTTATAAGAAAAAAATGCACTGGAAGTAAACACAAACATATTTTGCCATTTTAAAAAAGGAAAACACACAGCCACGCAGTGGAAAAGGCTAAGAAAAAGCTCCCCTCTTCCTTCTTGTGATGGAAGCATCCTTTAAAAAATATGCTAGAAAGAAAACTATCTCAAACAGAAGAAGAGAGAAGCCTTTTTGTTCCTAGCTCTGCCATCTGGAGTATTTTATCACAGTGTTCTGCAGGGTTGGTCTCCTACATGGCCAACAGGCATAAAATCCAGAACCACATGTGTCAAATTCATCCCTGGTGCAAGCAGATGTTATTGCAATGAAGTCAAAAGAGGTACACAGAGGATGGATTTAGCCACATGCGTGCAGATACAGCTGCCTTCCCCATAGTACCCAACTCCCCACTGCTAGAATTTATTGCTTTCAAAACAGTTGGTCTTTTGGCTGTGTTAATTGCATAATATCCCTTGAATATTTTTCAAGGTAGGCAAAACACTTTCCCAGTGAATAAATCAGTTCTGGATGCACCTTGGTGTGACACTTTTTGCCTACGAGCTTTCAGCTGTTACCCACTCCCGGCTGTGAACTGATGTGATCTATCTCTGGCTTGCCTTTGCCAGAAAAATGGACTTGACTATTAAGCATAGTAAAACTTTCACATATTTAACTACTATGATCCAGAAATGGCCCTTGCACTTTTAAGGCATATGGAAACATCCTCTCTGTCTTTCAAAATGGAAAGAGTTCTTTGCAAGTGAAACGTCACGTGCGCACACACACCCACGTGTGGTCCTGGACTCCTGACCCCAAATTCTTCCCGGATCTTTCTGTGCCCGGCAGTGTCCTGTCTCCATAGTGCCTGATCATTTGAGTACAGCGGGGCAGAGACTCATGTTGAGATGAATTTAAAAAGCATACATTTTAAAAGACAGATGATTTTCCTGTTATGCCAGCATCTTCAAATCCCCATATCAGCTGATGGGTTTCCCTAACCTGACGACTTTCAATCAGTTGTTGAAACATTGGCTTTCTGTGTTTTGTTTTCTAAGGAGGGAATGTGGGGTAGGGAGAATAATGAGGTGTTGTTTGTAACTTCACAGTCCTGATAGTTGGTTTTTATCTTCCATATTTTATGCAAAAACAGACATTATAAGTCAATAAATAATTGTGCCCTAGGTTGAAAGTTAAGTGTTCAGGAAAGGAAAAAAATGGTTGGCATTTTTCTACATTTTTGTGAAGACTCTTTTGGAAAGGAAGGGTACATATTTTTGTTGTGTAGTATTTTCTATTTTTGAACGCATTTTCTTGGTACAAGACTGTTTTGTGGAATTTTTTTTTCTTTTTGGTGAACACATTATTTAAAAAAAAAAAAGAAAAGAAAGAAAAAACTAATTGAAAAGTTTGCCCTTAAGGATATGCTGCAGTTTTGAGGTTTAACATGAAAAAAACATTCAAGACGCGTGTTAAAAGTTGGGGAATTGTATTGTTGGGAGTTTTTTTGTAATTGTTACAAGAAGAAGTTTGTAGCCACTGCTGTTTATTTTGTTTCAGATGAGTAAGTAAAGGGATTGTTCTTGTGTTATTCTTTTTTAAAAAAAATTATTTATGAAATGTCACAAACACTGGACTGTGAGTTTGTAGGGAAGCATTTTACCACCCTGTGTCTTCATAGAGCTGTTGGTGATCCTACTTCTCATTACTCTGCCTTATGATCTCCTGAGCAACTTTGGAGGGGATGGCAGGAGGGGGAGAGAGAAACTGAATGCATTTTTTACTTAGAGAGTTGGGGGAAAATTAGGAAACAGTGTTTTGCAATTTTAAAGCTGGACCATCAACTCTACTCCTTCTCCCAACTACCACAGGAATGAGAAAGGCTTTATGGTACCTGGATGTGGCAGTGTGCAAGGGGAAAGTGATTAAGAGACATGATGCTCATAATGACCTCTGTAAATGACATCTGTTTCTCAGTCAACAACTCCCTTGGTTTGCCCTCATCCCGCTAGTGGCTTTTGTGAACAACTCACCAACCCCACTGAAACCATGGGCTTTGTTTGCATTTTTCATCAAGCCTTCTTGGGCACCCATGCAGGGGGGAGTGACCAGCAGGGAGCACTATTCTGTTTGATCACTGGTCCAGATTTGAGGAGGAGTAGAGGCTGAGAGTGACCAAAGAGGTGTGCCATGTTCTTAATATTTGAAGAACAGGCTTCAAAGACTAAAGCAGTGCTCCAGGTGTTCATGGGACTGGAGAAAAGGGAAAGAGGAAGACACCAACAGCCATAACAGAAACTGGAGATAGGTAACTGGGCTATATTTGAGACCAACCAGATACTTTTCCTTCCTGGACAATAATGCAGCCAAATCTTGAGACTGTCAAGCAGACAGAAAGCTGAATGTGGCCTTCATTTTTCCTGCCTTTCCTTTTTATTCTCCCACTTCCTTTGCCCTGAGATTTCTTCTCAGTGAGCCCCTGCTCCACTGAGCACTTTTTTGCCCTCCACCTAAACTGCCCTTGCCTTCAAAATGTGAGTTTAGTCAGGACTGAGTAAAATCATGTGCCTTCTTTTTCCCCTTTTGTAATTATACCAGCCTCCTCCCCTTCCCCAGCTTACAAGTGTGAGAGACAACAGGAGGAGGCTCTTTAGAAGTGCTACCTGTCTATAGGTGTCCAATAAAACAGTAAGGTGGTGGTGAGAAGAAGGGGAGCTGGGAGCCATGAGCTCCTTTCCCTTTCCACACGTAGCAGGTCTTCCCAAGGAGACACCCACCACCACCTCATCAGACACTCCTCTCTCCTACAGTGCAGCCGTAGTGAGCATGTGGTGGCTCTTCTCTCCCATTTCAATCCTAGCTTTGTGAAGCACTCACTTGATTTCAAATCATGCCGTTTTCAAGCAGTCACATTGACAAGACAAATGCAGTTTGTGGCCTTATCAAGATGACTTAAACCACTAAAAGAAAAAAAGGCAACTCATTTCCCTCCCAAGGTTTGTGTCACTTCTAAAAACCCAGTCCACCGCAGTTTAGACTCCTTTAATCTCAGTCCATTTTGATGATGGTGGCTAAAATGACTAGCCTAGAACTTAAATGCTGGACCATCTAATCTCATGTTTTCTTTGCTATTACCCCTACTGTCTGCTTGCTTTTCTCATTTTCAACTATACTCTGCTTAATGAGGCAGCCTAGCCTTTGGTGAAAGGTAGAAGAGCCAGTAGGATCCTGGCACAGGGAAGGTAGTTCATGGACATTTTAGCAAGAGTAGGATATATTAGCTGCCACAGCAAATGCACATTATGATGGGCTAACTGCAGCGTTTTAGGGCAAATGAACCACCCAGTTACTGGAACATCACTTGTTCCCAGGTCAGAACCATGGAGAGAAAAGAGCACATTGGCACAATGGAAAAGCGGCTCACAATCCACAGCTGCTCATGGGCGAAGACAGGGACCCAAATGCCACCCAGCTTCTCTGCACACTTGCCCACTGCGCAGTCAGTGTCCCTGACTCCACAGAGGAGCCAAATTTGCTGGAGAAGCTTTTCTGATTGTAAGAGTCAGTGCAAAGCAGTCCCTGTGAGGTGTCTGTCTGTCTGGCAGGCAAGGCCAAGGGTGGGTGCTCACCTGTGCTGTTTTCCTGCAGAGCAGGAAGCTCCATACAAGCTTTCCTGGAGCTTGCCCTTCTAGAAATCCACTTCTAAAACCTGTAGCACCTGGGTGGTGGAATGAAAAACCTCTCAATTGCTTCCATAAATGATCCAGTAAATGTAAATATTCTGGGTGGACTATTGGAAGTTTCTTTTTTAGGCTCAGCTCTAAAGCCTGGGAGGAGCAGCATGGGAATGGTGTTTTTATTCCCCCTCTCCCAGTTAACAAGTCTGCATGTGTGCACATACATCCAAGAGAAAGGGTGCATTCCTACCCATCTTTGGTGCTGAGGGACTTAAAACATTTGTCCAAAGCTTACATTTGACACATTTAGAGAACATAAGAATAGACTCTTAGCACATGCAATATTTCCCCCCACAAAAGGGAAGGGGGGAGGAGAACAATGTGGGCAGTTGGGATTGTTAGGGTTGGATTATTTTGCATCTTTTGTAAAACTGTAATTTTAACAGTGCCTTATTCCTAATAGATGCTGGCACTTGGGACACACACACACAATAAAAGACAGAACTAGGGAGTGTCAGATGGGTACATCCATAAGACAGAGATCATTAATCATCATAAAGGAAGCTGTATTGGGAATGACACAGCTGTGTCAGAATTGGAAACAGTTCAAATATTCAACCACTAAAGCAATTTCCCTTCCACCACCTCCTGCTTTCCCTCCTTGCCAATGGTGCTGCCCAAGAATAGCTGCCTACACCGAGGCCTGTCACTGCCCCATTTGCTTTTGGCATTGTCACGTCCAAGGAGTTTAGCATGGTCATGCTTTTCACTGCAATCATGTTTTCCATGGGGTATGTGAATGCCAGTTATTTTGCTTTAAATGCACTTTAAAAAAAAAAAAAAAGAAATCAAATCAAAGCTCCAGACTGTTTCAAATACATAGGGGAAGACAGTGCATATGTGGTTGAACCCAGTTGACTTTATCTCCAGTTCCAATGTACTCCATGCAGTGTGTATGTATAGAACAATGTGTATGCATACAAACACATGTCAACCTTAAAAATCAGCAGACTAACCTTTCTCCTTAAGCTCATGAAACCACATGCTACACAAACACAGCAGCAGCAGAGGAATTATGGTTGGGCTCTTGAAACAGATCACAAAAAATAAAAACAAATACTTGGTCCTTTCTGTACGTTCAATAATTACAGAAGGAATTGGGTTGTAACCAGAATAAAAAGGAACGGTGCTAAATGAATGAATGGGCAAAAAAAAAAGAAAGAAAAACAAAAACTCAGCCCAATAACACAGTTAGACTTTTATGCTAATTTACACATTGGGTTGGTTAGGATTTTTTTTTTGTTTGTTTATATGAAAATAAAATTGCATCTAAACTAAACTACCACAAAGATAACAACAAAACAACAAAGCAAGCAAACAAAAATGCATCCTGCCCTGAAGAAGCGCTTATTTATGGAGGATGTTAGAAATCTCAAAACTCTTGGCCTTGCTCTCACATACCACATGTTCAATCAGTCCTTTTTTTAAAATGTCTGAAACTGAAAAAAAAAAAAAGAAAAAAAAGGAAAAAAAAAAAAACTTTTTGAAGCACCTTATGTGGCTTCCCATTCCAGGAGTGGGAGCTGCCTTTTTTTCTTTGAGCACCTTACTGATGTGTTAATGCTATCTGCTGTCTTTTTGTTCCCCGTGGGCCGAGTGGCTGCTGTGAGCACGGGCAGGGCCGGGGCCGGGGGTGCTGCCATCCGCATTCCCATTGCTCGCAGTGCTGGCTGGGACCTGGGCGGAAATTTCTCAGATGGTCTTTGCTTTGTGGCGTGGATGGGAGCTAAATGGTGGAGGGGAGAGCACACGCTCTTGTGTGCGGATGTAAAAGGTAAAAATTGGACATTTTCTTCACGAGGCCAAAGGAATTCCCAGCAGACAACAGATGCCGAGTGAATGGGAAACTGCAGCCAGGTCTAAATCCTAAAGTCTTTATGCAGGCAACCAGTGACAGTGACCTCGGGCACTGTCCTGCCAAGGTGGAGACTTCAGGATTTGGCTGCAGCTGGCCGAGGTCCCCACGCAGGACATGGCTCTGCCCGTGTGATGAGACAGCCACCCACCTGCACAGCCCTGCACGCACCGCTGTGCACACACACACACACCCACACACCCCACAGCTGTACAGGCATCTCTCCAGAAACATGGTTTGTGACAATGTGAAGAGCAGGTCGAAAGTTTTGAGGGGTTAAGTTCCTTTTTTTTCTCTCATTATACTCTGTAAATGGTATGTCAGTTATCAAAAACAAGCAAATAGAAAATTGTTTAAAAAAAATTACCTTGCATACGCCTTTTCTATCAAGTGCTTTAAAATATAGAATAAATACACACATCCTGCCAGTTTTTTCTTACAGTGAGAGTATCCTTACCTGCCATTTAATATTAGCCTCGTATTTTTCTCACGTATATTTACCTGTGACTTGTATTTGTTATTTAAAACAGGAAAAAAAAATAAAAAAAGAAAATTAACTGTAGCGCTTCATTATACTATATTATTATTATTATTATTGTGACATTTTGGAATACTGTGAAGTTTTATCTCTTGCATATACTTTATACGGAAGTATTACGCCTTAAAAAAATACGGAAATAAATTTTACAAGGTTTCTGTTTTGTGTGGAAGAGTAATTGATGTTGCTAAGAATGATGTTTGTTTTTTTGTTTTTGTTTTTTTTAATGTTACCAGCACTTTTTTTGTAAGTTTCACTTTCTGAGGTATTGTACAAGTTCACACTGTTTGTGAAGTTTGAATATGAAGGAATAATTAAAAAAAAAAGACAAAAGAATGTGGCAGGTGTCTTTGTGTATTTCTTTGTCTGTGGAGAACATGGAAGGCGGATGGCAAGTGTCCTTTGGATTTCTCTTAGCTCTGAAGGGGCATGGCAGGAGTCCTGCTGGCCCCTGTCTGCAGGGTCAGCCACAAACATTGCCACGCTGGGATAATTGTCAGGGCTGAACATCAACAGTAGCTGATGTTGGGGCTACATGCCTGACAGTCTGGGGTTCTGGTGTCCAAGATATACTGCTCAGAGATAAAATCACAGACTTTGCATTCTTCTGATTTTTAGCAGTTCTGCACCAAGTCTGTGAATGCAGGATATTCCACTGCCAGCCCACTCAGTACCAGAAATGTATTCTGCTGGTTAGTTCAGGCCCTGAAAGAGCAAAGGGCTCCTTTGGAGCAGTGGGATCCACAATCACTTTAAGGGGTCTCATGTGACCTGGATTTCCACTTCTTGACAATGACTAGTCCTCAGTCTTCCAGTTTCAATATGTTTCTCTCCTTTCTATCACTGCAGCAAGTGCATTTTTAAGAAGTTACAGCAAAAGTGATGGGTGATGTGAAAACCAGGGCACAGACATTGCCAAGCTTGGGCTGCTGAGGCTGAGAATGATTACTGTTACACAAACCAGAACTGAAAATGCAGCTGAATGCCTTCTCACTTCCCAAACACTGCTCCCACTTAATCCAAACCATGCTGGATCCAGAAAAGCCCCTAATTTTGTTTCCAGGTCATATACTACAAACAGTTAGGTTAACCTTAGGATAACCAGCTTTGTGCTTGGAGCAGAGACCCCTGAGAGGAGACCACAGTACCCTCTATTAGCTCTTTCTCCCTGTGAAAATTAAGACCAAATTTGGCCTTTTGTTTCCTGCAATGATCTTCTTCAATTTCCATAATAGATGAAGAACAACTCTTGCAACAGTCCTCTGACCCATGAGCGTTAGAAGGGAAAGGATCCTCTCCCTTGGGAGAAACCATGTTGGATAAACTGTTGCATGAACAGCTACAAGGGAAGTTTTAGCATGGAACTAAAATGCTGTTTGTCAGCCCCCATTAACAGAAATACCAAGTTAGCAGATGTCTAAGTCCTCACACCTCCCTCTGAGTCACGAGGGCAAATGCACGAAAATCAACTCTGGATACCAAGGTTTGCTGGGCCACAGGGGTCACAAGCCACAGCCTTCCTAGGCATGTCCCCTGTGTGTCCCTGGCAGTGATCACCCTGGGAGGGCTGAGACATCAAGAACTTGGGCTCAGTCCTACCTGAGCTCCTACCTGAGAGACCTTGCTGTCACCTTCATTTGTGACAGACCTGGGAGGAGCCAGAGAGGCCCAGGTACAACTCGTGCTAGAACAACAGGGCTGATCTCACGTTCACACACTGTCCCCTGTCAGCTTCACCTTCCTCCCTCTTCACCAAACCAGCCCAATTTTGTGGCAGTGTCTCCACTACTGACCAGAGTTTCAGTGAGTTTGGGAGATGGGTTGGTGTGACCACACCAAGGGTCTTACTATATCAGGAGGAGGTTTGGGATGGGAACTCAGCGTAACAGTAGGAAGGAAACGGAGCAGAAGCGATGTGGGTTGTGTCTCTATCCCAACCCCACAGGCTGGAGTGCTCCTTAGTGGTGTCACACAGTCCATGAGGGAGAAGCTCCTACAGGAAACCTATCACCACTCAAGGAAGAAATAGTCTCCCAGACTGTACCTTCCCATTTTGGTGAGGGAGAGATTGCTCCCCTGTGGCTTCTCTGTGGGACAGGGACAATGCAGCTGGATATTCCAGCACACTTAGACACACGAGATAAGCCTAAAATGAGAATCCCGACATGACCCTCTCCTCAGAATCACACCTGCAGTAGCTGAGAGTGGGAAAACTGGGAAAATGCCTAGAAATAGGCTTCTGGAGAGCCACTGCATGTCCTCAGCAAACACTTAGAAGGATGTAAAACATCTCACATGGACACTTATGGGCATGCACATGTGGACATTCATTTCTGCCATCACAGAGAGGTTTCCCCAGGGGACCCTGAGTCATGGCCTCAGCTCAGCCCTCTTGGGGACTTGGATCTCACACCCCAGATTGTATCTGACGATGCAGTTGAACACAGAAGCACAGCATTAGTGCGGGTTCAATACCATCCTTCAGAGTTGCTAAGGTCAGCAACTTCTGGCCAGGAGACATTTATTTTAGTGTGAAATGCAAAACCAAGAGCCTGCTGACAGGGCTTAACTCCAGTTGTCTGTGAAGAGCTGGGATGGCAAGGTGCCGCTCCAGGGAGAGCAGCCATGACTTGGGTGTGTTCAGCCAGGGTCTGGGCTGGTTCCTTGTCCCAGCCTGGGATACTGGGTCTGCACCAGTTGTCCTCAGCATGTAAGAGCCACGAGGGTGCATGGGCTCCTCATCTCACCATGCACTTCACTCAGTCAGAGGCAGGTGGCAGATATTAGTGAGCCCTATATCCTTGTGTATTTCTTGATTTTAATAATCAGAGATGGGCTGGGCTGTGGCCAGAGCTCTCCCTTACCTGCTGAATGAAACAGTAGCCTGAATCTACCAGCAGTGCATATACTCCCTCTCCAGACTGCAAGAATGTCAAAGGAAGTGCAGGACCATTTTCCTAAGCTAAACACGGTCCCAAGTGCACTCCTTGCAGGACTTTCCCTCAACCTTTGAGCTCCTTGAAGCCATGGAAATGGGCAGTGGATGTTATTTGTAGTGGCAGCATCCATTCTTGAAACCTCAGTTCCCCATGTGTGCCTGACACCAGGCACGGCTTGACAGCACCAGCCACGTGCAGGCCACTCCATGCAGTCCCCTCCATGCAGTCCCCTCCATGCAGGCTGCTCCATGCAGGCCTCTCCATGCAGGCTTCTCCATGCAGGCCGCTCCATGCAGGCCTCTCTGTGCAGATGCCTCCATGCAGGCTGCCCCATGCAGGCCTGTGTGCCCAGGCACATGCAGAAGGGATGGATGGCTCATGAAATGCAAGGGCTGTACACCCAGCCATAATAATGATAAGGCATGATAAGGCAGGGGCCATGACAAAGAACCCCCTCCAGAGTCGCCATAAGCAGCCAAGAGCCTTTCCCAGCCCACCAGCAGGGAGGTAAAGCTGCATTACAGCTGGCAGAGAGAGCTGAGCTCTGTCAAGATCAGTCTTAAGTTGCTGTTGTTGTTTTTTCTAAAGACCCCTTGTTGCAAGAATCAATAGATAAATTGCCCACACAGGAAAAATATTAATCCTAATAATGTACAATTGTTTACAATATTAAGAAAGAAATATGCAAGATCCATACCTAGAGATTTGTGGCACAATGCTCAGGCTACAGCACCACTCCCAAATCAGGATTTTCAGGAATGCATATTTAAAGCTTCACACTTGCATATCTCAGAGTACAGAAAACTGAACATAATTATTTTTTTTAAAAAGAAGAGGAAACTCATATTTTTTTGGACCAACATTCTCACAAAACTAGAAATGCCTCCTTGTGCCGAAACAAGGATGAATAATCCCCATAGAAAAATGTGGAAAGTGCAAGTAATTTTTATTAAACCTGCCACTTTTTCTAAGTGCTGATTTAAAAAATTAAATTAAATTACAGTCAAATTTCATTAAAAATAGCTTGGTTTTTTCAGGAGGGCTGCAGTCCTAATGTTCCTAGTGGATACCCATGGGATGCAGAACAGTTGCAAACAGTAGCTCTGATTTCTGGAGCCCACACTGATTTATGAAGTGCTGCAAGGCCAGGTCCATGGGGACGATTCTGTGACTCTACCATAGCTCTGTTTCAAAGGAGACAAAACATCCACACAGCTCCTCAGAGCTGAACTCAAACCCCTTTTGAAAGTGGGATGTAGCTGGTTTTGCCTTGCTTGTCATTGCTTTCCTGCAATTTTCCTTGGCTGACCTATTCACTGGTGAGTCTGTGCACTGAAACCCAGGGCTGAAGCACAGTAGGAGAACGAGGTATCATTTCACAAAGGAACAAAAAATGTGATTTCCTTCAGGAGACACGAGGATGCCCTTACACAACTGTATAGAGAGAGACCAAACAAATATTGCCATCAGTGCCCCCACTGCACATCTTTTTGAGGATCAGACATATTCCCTGTGGCCCTGGTGGTCAGGTTGACTATGCTTCAAGGCCTTGGCATAGGTGCTTCCTTTAGTAATGATCATTATCCTCATCATCATCAGTGACAACTCTGCGACTCTCATACACTCTGCAATGTATCCTGCAGACCAAGTCATTACGTAATAAGGAAGACATAAATATCATTAATCCAAGGAATTCAGAGTATCTGTAGAAACTCAGCTGTACCAAAAAACCTCTCTATGCCTTACAAACCAGCAGACAAGGGGCTCCTTACCCACATCCACTCCACTATGGGCTTCAAACTCAAACGTGGGTGGAGAAAAGTATTCAGCTCACATAGCCCTTCGTGCCTTTAGAAAATTGTAGGCAACATTTTAGCACCTCTTGCACCTAGGGACTGTCCTTGTAGCACAGCACTGATGAACCTCTCTCCAAAGCATGGCTGAGCCTTTCCCCAGTTTTAAATTCCCTGGCTGTTTCACAGGGACTTCACGCCAGGCTTTTCTGCCCTAACCAGAAGAAATGCATGATAACAGCACTGACAGTATTGCTGACCACAGTCCCATCTCTCTCATCTTGTCTCATTAAAATAAGCAAGCAAAGAAGAATCCTGCTATTCAGACAGATTCTATTTTCCATATAGCCACATTGTCCATCATCAATTAGCCTGATGAATAAGGCACAGCCAGCTGTCTGGAAAAGACTAAAAACAAAGCAATCAAAGGAAAGAAAACAAACAATAAAACAACAGGAGCCAAACTTCCCCAGACAACAGCACAGCCCTCCTTTTTGTTTATTGCATGATTTTGAGGGCCTGTAGCATTAAGGGATGGACTGAGTGATAAAATCAACTTGCCCCCACTGCAGATGAACTGCAGCATTTCAGACAAACCCCAGGA